TCACTGCTGGTGGGATTGCAAAGTCATGCAACTCCTATGGAAAACAGTGTGGAGAACTAAAAAACCTTAAAATGAACCTACCATATTACCTGGTTATACCACTCCTTGGCATATACCCAAACTATTCATCCTATTGCAGAAACACTTGTATAACCATGTTTATTGCTGCTCTTTTCACACTAGCTAAGAGATGGAAGCAACCTAAGTGCCCCTCAACTGATGAGTGATTAACAAAAATGTGGTACATTTATACAATGGAGTTCCACTCAGCAGTAAAGAAAGATGAAATAATGAAACTTGCAGGTAAATGGATAGATCTAGAATCTGTTACATCAAGTGAAGTAACACAGACTCAGAAAAACAAAGGATGTATGTTCTCCCTCATTTGTGGATCCTAGCACCAAATCCTTATAAGTAAGTGCATATCCTGATGTAATTGCAGGAACCAGGAACATGGAAGGGAACCAGGGAGGTAAAGGGAAAGAAGGAACCCCAGAGAGAGAAATAGTAGAAGAAAGGTGTTACTAAGGGATAAATATGTAAAAAGGGGGTAGTTAAAGGGGGGGAAGGAGGGCTATACAAAGAACTATGGGAATAAAGTGCCGATACACAGGAATCAAAAAAAAAAAAAAAAACACTTAAGCACAGAAGGAACCCTACGGGGATAGAAGAAACCCCTACCAGAAGCCATACAGCTGTTCAATGAAAATCCCATTGCCGGAGCTGGGTTGCCCCCTATGAGCTGTTGACCAGAGAGGCCCTAGAGGTTCCCAAAACAATAAAGGCCATTGTCAATAATGTTGGTTGTACACTGGCAGTGGCCATTAAAACCCTATTGCTGAAGCTTGGGATGTTAGCTTGGGAGAAAGAAATCAAGCTTGGACTAAGCTGGAAACTCCCTGCCACTGGATGGGTGGCTTTCATAGTGCCAGAAAGCGATATGCAGATGGCTCGGGGAGAACTGTACTCTATAATTCTGCTCAATGACAGACCCTGAATGCTGCACTATCAACATGTGAAACAATATGTTCCTGCTGGTGTAATACTGGCATATCTAGTGTATGTACAACGAGCAAATTTTCAATTGGATATAATGCCCACTCCTGGGGGGGAGCACATCTGGTACTGTAGAACAGGCCAGCCCCCTGTGGCAGGGGAGGATATAGGTCCCAGGGAAGCCACTGTAATTGTTTTGTTAGATGGATGTGATGCACCTGCTAAAGTACCATCCAAGTATTTGTGTTTATGCCCATTGATTAAGTCATTATAGCAGCCACTGTTTAGATGGTCTTATTGTTTGTGTTTTTATAGTAGATGGAATCCCACTGAAATGGGCCAACAGTCCATGGAAAACAGATGATGCAGAGACCCAAAAGTTCAGCCACAATGGGAGGAAGATCATCCCACACCTATCATCCCCTCCAAGGCTCAGGGACTTTTGCAGAAGAGGTTGGCAGAAAGCATGTAAGAGCCAGAGGAAGGCGTAGAGTGTTAACTGGAAGTGTCCTCTGACAACTATGCCAGCAAATAGTCACACCTCCTTCCCATGCTTATCAAGGAGTGGGGAGCCAGTTACCCCTCCCACCCAATCAGTCCACCTTAGCTGCATGTGGGGGAGCAGCTAAGGATATATAAGCTGAGGACAACATGAGGCACCTCTCTCACCATTTTGTGCAGCTGTCAGGAAGTTACAGGATCTATATTTGAGTGTGGACTTTCCAGTGCAGCCATAAATGGGGTGCACCCACTCTTCTGTAAATAGTCCCCCACCTATACCCTTTTAGCAAGCCCAATAAACTAGTTAGGATTTAAAAAAAAAAAAAAAAAAAAAAGGAACAGAGCTAATGGAAACCTTCACTATTCCACCAAAGTTGACCCCATGTTGGCAAATCCGTCTGTCTTTGATTTCTTATTCCTATTTTTCCCCTTTAAATTTCATTGTATATATATTTTTGTGTAACCTACTTCAAGTTATTTCTTGGAAAATGTGTTAAAAATTGCCTCTCTTTGGAATACTAAAAATATTCTAAATTTTTTAAGTATTTAAATATAACCTAAAGACCTTTAATAATAATCAATGGATAACCTATTGAAAATTCAAATACTCAAATGGCTCAGTGGTTAAGAACACTGACTTCAGTGGCTAGAGAGATGGCTCAGAGGTTAAGAACACTGGTTGTTCTTGCAGAAGACCTGGGTTCGAATCCCAGCACCCACATGGCAGCTAACAACTGTCTGTAACTCCAGTCCCAGGAGATCTGACAGCCTCTTCTGACCTCCACGGGCATTGCATGACACGGGTGCACTTACCTACATGCAGGCATAACACTCATACACATAAATAAAAATAATAAAAAAAAAAACTAAATTTTTAAACAACCTAGTGCATTTGGAGACAATGTGAAAACTGTTTTCAGGTATAACTCAAGCATTGAAAGACCACTTCTGAAAAAGGATCTTATCTTCTTTTCCTAAAATTTTATTTGTTTTCTCTTATTTTATGTATATGAGTGTTTTGCCTGTATGTAAGTGCACTATATGCATGCAATGCCAACAGAGGCCACAAGAGGGTACTGGGAACCAAACCCAGATCCTCTGCAAGAGTAGCCAGTGCTCTTAACTGCTGAGCCATCTCTCCAGCCCTCATCTTTTCCTAAAATTTAAAGCTCCCTTTTGGTCAGGGGTTAACAGCTACCCAGATGAGCACAAATGTGAATTTTTCATATTTCCTATCTCTGTACCTTCTAGGTGATAAGTACATTTGGTAAGTACAATGGTTATCAATGTTCTGGTAATATGTCAGGGGAGTCATGTGTATGTGTTTGTGTGAGTGGTGCTGGAGGCTGAACCCTGAGCTTTATACTGTGATTAATAAGAGCTAGAATATGAATGAAATAGAGTGTCCCTCCATGTGCCAAAGGCCCAGGAACATTCCTGTGTAAAATGTCCCATTTGCATTCCAACACACACTACAGGCAGAATAGTGCTTCCAGTGAGTCCAAAGGTTAAAATAATTAGCCTTCGTTCTTACTTAGCTAAATGTTTGCATAGCACCAATTAATAAAGGAGTTTGGGGGCTGGGGTATATCTCAGTGGCCAAGTGCTTACCTAGTAAGCATGGGTAAGGCCCTGAGTTCAATCCTTAACACCAAATGAGAAAATAAAATTAAATAAATAAATAATTTATTTTTTGTTCTAGAACTCTTCCCTTCTGTTCCTAGGACAGATGACATTTTCCTTAGGTATGTTCAAAAGTAACAATAGTAATACATAATGTAACACTACAGTTTCAAAACAACTTTCACATACAAGATCAAATGTGACTTACAGTGACCCTGGGAGGGTTCCACCAACCTCCTTTTACTCCTGAGGAAACTGAGACAGAGTTCGGGTGTCAGAGTTAGGTCTAAACTTAATTTGTCCTGTTTTCAGTCTTTGTGTAAAGACTCCATGCTTCCTGGGTCCTGTGTGGCAGAAGCTAGCACATATTCTAAAGCAGGATCAGCCTCCTTTGGAGGCAGAGAAGGGCCACTTGCCAGGGCAGCAGGCAAGTGTGAAGCACTGTTAAAGATGGTTAAACATTGCTATTGGTGTTAATGGTAAGTTCTTATTGTAAGCAGTCTTCCTCATGTTCATTTCCCTGTAAATAAGACAGGATGGGAATAGCAATTTAATTCCCTATTTGGCAGCCATTGGACTCTCCCTTGCTGCCTCGAGCAAAAGCACTGTCAGTCTAACAGTCAGTGGGATACCCTCCTATCAGTACTAGCTATTTGAACACTCCATGTGGATGTCTTGAGGAAACTACACAATAATTGCAGCTGCTTGCTCTGGCTCCTAAGGTGCAACCCCACCCTGGACTGCTTGAGTTTATATCAGACCTTCTGCTCAAGTCTTAGTGGACTCTAGGTAATCTTGCAACCAAGGCCAGCAGGGGGAGCTACTGGGGGGACTACTGTGATTGGTATAAAGGGACAGTGCCATGAATGGTGCAAAGACAAACCTTCATCTACACATGTGGCCTGCTGTGATCAACACAAACACTCCTTCTCTGGCTATATAAGCAGGCTGTTTACCTCATTTGGTGAGACAGTTGGCAGACACTTTCTGTACTGTAGCTTTCTGCTTTCTCTAGTGTTATAACATCAGCCCACACTCCCTCCAACATCTTATTTTGAGTGGCCTTTTCTTACCTACTTTTAGTGTGGGCTGAGCTGGTAATATGAAGATAGAAGTAGCAGAAATGGAACATGGCAGAGGCTACCAAGTGGCAGCAAACAGCAGAGCAGCCAGCATGTGCAGAAGCAGCTGGCTGTTTAACAGCTGAAGAAGGCAGAGCCACAAGACTATCACATCAGAGCAGAAACCCAGGAGCAAAATAAATCAGCAGGAGCTGCCTTCTGAACAGTAGCCATAACAAGGGGTGGCCGAAGAGAGCAGGAACAAGGGGGCAGCAGAGGCAGAGAGGGCAGAGTGGAGGCTAAGGAAGGACAGAGGCTGTAAAAAGCCAGAGAAGAATTGCAGGTCCTGGTTGCTGGAAGGTTTCCAGATAGCTGCCAGGCTTTTAAGGCCAAGGGTACCAGACATCCTGGATCCAAGAGCTTCAACACTGACTGTTGTCAGGCTGAGGAATCCAGACTTCTAGGCTACATGAGAACTGTTAACAGTTGAAGAGCTAGGGATCCTGGTACCCTAGGCCTAACATAAGAGCTGGAACAGTAGATAGTGGCACCTGCTGCTGCTCCTGCTTGCCTGCTGCTGACACTTGCTATTGTCAAACTCTAACGGATACAAAAAGCTACCACAGACCAGCACTTAAAGAGATTCTCCTTCCCTACCCACAATTTCTATCTGAGCAGAGCAAAAGGATGATTCAGTATAAACACCTCCCTTTTCTACAGGCATCACCCCCTTCAAGCCATCCCTACCCAACTGATGTACTCATTCTCAAACAGTCACCAGCACCAGCTTACAAGAGGAAATGAATGATGCCCCCTCACCTTCTCCTGAAACTTTTCTTCCTTCTATTCATGCAATGTGGTCAGGTAGTTGACAGCTGCATACTCCAGCATGGAAAGGAACACAAACACAAAGCTGACCCAGAGGTAGATGTCCACGGCCCTGATGTAGGATACACAGGGCATGGAGGCATTCACACCCGTGATGATGGTGGACATGGTCAGCACCGTCATGATGCCTGCAAAATCATCTTAGTTCAGCTGCTAATGTTGGCCCAGACATGCACCCACATCTCACAGTCACAATTTCCCATTCTCTGTCTCCTGAGTGAGAGATTTCCCAGACATGTTTCCACCTGGTAGAGGTATGAGGAACTACTCCCTAAGCAGCCAGGCCTGCCTGTCTTACCCCTTCCCAACTGTCTCTCTGAGAACTGGCTGCCTGTTTACAATCACCTTAGGAGTCTGAGTTTCTGTGTGTGGCTGACAAGGTCAACAATGCCTCAGAAAGGACCAAATTAAAAACAGTAACTTAAGGACACCTCTAAAAGAATGTGCACATTCCCCCTTGTCTATGCCACATTTATTAAACCCTGTGCAGACTTCCAGGTCTTCACTATGGCCTGCCTGTGAAGCTCTCCCATTTATCCAAGTTGCAATGATGGGTTGTAAATTCTCACTCTGAAATTCAGGGTCTGGAGAGATGTTTTAAAACCGCAGCTCTGGTGGAACCAAACCCTTCCTTTCCCAGAAATCCCACATTATTAGAAGCCCTGCCTCTAAGTTCTGAGGCTCTCCAAACAAGGCTAACAAGCAGGGCTTGAGATTTACAGGATAAATTTTTTGCACTTGCAAAATAAGCTTATTTACTTAGGTACTGAGCTCCAATAGTCCATACCCCAGATTGGCTCTACCTTTCTGAACTGATGCAATCTGAAGGGTGCAGTTTTAGCTTCCCGTGGTTTTCATAATGTGGTACTAGTGTCTTCATCTGGGTAGACTAGACAAGAAGCAGAAAAACCATTCCTTCTGACACCAACAACTCATCAGTTAAGACTTCTGAAGACTTACTTTACATTTTTTTAGGTACAGTTTTACTATGTAGCCCAGGCTGGATTTAAACTTATAGTCCTCCTGCTTCAGCCTCTGGGATTACATGTTCTTCCAACTACACCCAGCCCAGGACTTTAATTTTCCTTTACCTAGTAATCAGCTGGGAAAAAAAAAACAAAACATCCTACCAAGCCTTATCAAATGCTTTTACCCAGTGACACTCTGGCAGGCACAGCTCTGTCTTCGATCCAGAAGGACACCCAGGACAGCATGAGCATCAGGGTGGCGGGGAAATAGGATTGGAGCAGGAAGAAGAAGATGTGACGATGCAACGGGAAGTTGATGTACAGACGGTTGTACTAGCCTGGGGGGCACAGGAAGAAGCAATGACGCTCTGTTTGAGGGCTTTCTTGGGAACCCTTCTCTTCCTGACAATGTTCTCAACTACAGAAAGCAAAAGTTAACATTCCGTGGTCTTAATACAATTTTAAACCTTCTCTATGACTACCATGTTAACAGCCAGTACTGCACTCTCTTATGTAGTATGAGCTAACTTTTCACAGCAGATTGGGAAAGGCAAAAGGAAACATACAGATCTAGTTTTTGGTTTAGTAATCACTATCTGCAAACCACAACTGCATTTCCTGAGGGACTGGCCGCTAGGGAGCGAAAGAAGTTAGAGTGGTTCTAGCTTGTTGAAACCGGTACCCCTGTGTCAGGAGGGTTGGGCTCTCATCATTGTCTGCTTTATCACTGAGTTGGTTAGTCATCACTCAATCACACCATCACAAAAATAGGCTGTTGACACAACTCAAGACCGGCAGTTTTTTGGCAATTCATCCTCCTCATGGAATCTTTTATGGTATGGAATGTGAGAAAATGAGATTCTCAGAAGCTGTTCCAAAACCTACCTGATCTCCATGCACTTGGGTCTCTGGGGTCTCTACCTGAGAGTCAGGGCTTTTCTTGCACAATGACTCTTTAATTGAGCAAGTATTCACAAGCTAGGCCCTGTGTGGGAGGATATTTAGGAACTTGTTTGAAATACAAATTCTTAGAGCTCATGGGACTACTGATGAGAGGACTTAAAAAAAAATCTGTCTGGCTACTCCTGAAGGACTTATAAAACACAGTTGCTGGGCTCCCAGGGTTCCTGGGTGGTGCTGATGTGACTGGTCTGGGCATGGCACTGGGATAACTACCTTGGCCAAGGACAAGGGCCTTCCAGTTGTGATTAACATAAGAATTGCCTGTGAACCCTGCAGTTCCTGGACTCCCTTACCTGGACTTGACTCCCTAGGCTTGCCCCAAGAAAATCTACTTATGAACAATATGATTGGATAATTTGAATGCAGGTGGGCCTCAAGCTGCACTCAGAAACACTGGGGAGCAGACAAAGATTGATTGGAGTGGAAGGTTAATATTGAAGGGAAGGGATGGGGAGGTTGGGTCAATAAGAAAAGACTGAAACAACAGGGCACATGGCTACTGAGTGGGCTCTTGGAGTGTCTGAATGAGGCTGGTGCTTTTAGGGGAATGGAAAACAGAAAGTAATCTTCAAGAATGGCAGAGAAACTAATCATCCCACACTTTTGTCTAGTCCTGCCCACTTTATTTTCCTCCACTCCAAATGGCATCCAAGAAGCAAATCACATTGCTCACTGGCTTTGTACAGGGTCTTCCTGTAAGTACCGAGAACTGCCTCTGTTCTGTTAAGAGCTAGTCCATCATCCTTCCTTCTATCCAGGGAGTGTTGTGTTGGAAAAGAACTCTGAACAGGTATATCCTGTGTGCCAAACAGCACTCCCATGTAAGATCATCACTCACATGGCATGTGCGCCAACCCTTGCCTGTATAGGAATGGGAATGGAAGACGCATTTGAGTATGCCATTTAGAAAGGCTTGAATGTGGAAGAAAACAGACAGGCACACTATTCTAGCATAGAGGAACATGCACGGTCACTCACCTGATCTGCAACTTCCACCAACAGCTTAATCCTTGAGTCTCAGTTTCTTCATCTGAAAATGGGGAATAATAATATCTATATCTTGGTTTTATAGGTTAGAAATTGGTTCATATAAAAGTGGCATAAAGTGGCACATAATAAAAGATGGCTCAGCGGGTAAAGGCGCTTGATGTCAAGCCTGATGATCTGAGTTCGATCCCTGGGACCCACATGTTGAAAGAAGAGAATCAATTATCTCTGGCTTCCACTTACAAACATGTGGCAAAGAAGCCCCTCCCCTCCCACATACACAATAAATAAATAGACAAATAAATAAATAAATGTAATAAAAAGTTAAAAACTAAGCGCAGGCACTTAGTTTTAAATCATGGTGACGCACACCTTTAATCCTAGGACTCAAGAGGCAGAGAAAGTAGAGCTCTGTGAGATCAAGGTCCCCTGGTCTACATAGTGAGTTCCAGGCCAGCTAGGGCTACAAGCCCCCAAAAGGGGGGGTCATAAAAATAAATGTTTTTAAAAAGTACGTAAGAAATTCTTAGCAGTGTCTTTGTGGATTCAAACTTGGTAAGAACAGATAAGAAAAGAAGGCCGCTAGTGCATGCAATCGGAGTGGAAGGGAAGAGAGGAGGATGAGCACCACTGATGTGAACCAAAGCAGGCCCAGCACAGCCCTGGCCAAGATCTGTTGGGCTTTTCCAGAGTTTGATGCTAAGGGCAGAGGTGTGTGGGTCGGGGCAGTTGATTAGCCAAGATGGCATGCAGGAGCAGTAAAGCTTTCCACAGAGGAGCTTGGGTTTCTCAGCTCTGGGACAAAGAATAATGACAGAGGAGTCCCACTGGGTGCCTGCTGCTACTGCGGGGGTACTGCTTGAACCAAATTATGTCCCCTAAACAGACAAGTGGAAGTTCTAATGCCTTTTACCTGTGCATGTGACATTATTTGGTAATAGGATCTTTGTAGATGCAATCAAGATACAATGAGGTCACACTGGATTCAGATGGCCTCTAACCTAGTGACTGGTGTCCTTACAGAAGAGGGGAATTTGAGCATGAATATACAGGGAGTGTATCATGTAAGGACACAGGAGAACGTCGTGTGATGACCAAGGCAGGCTGGGACAGCAAAGCTGCAAGCAAGGGGCTACCAAGCCTGGCTGGAAACGATCTTCCCTCAAGCCCACAGAGGGAGTATGGTGGCCCTTGGACCTCTGGCCTCACAAACTGTGACAGAACAAATCTTTGTTGTTTTAAGCAACCCAATTTGTAGAAATCCCTTCCTAAAAATCTAACCCATGAATTGAAGGCGAGATAGGACAAAGGCTGACAAATGGATCTCCTTAAAACTTCAAATATGGTCCAGAACCTAAGAGGTTAAATTAAGCGTTGAAAAAAATGAATCTACTGGGGCTGGAGATTCAGCTCCATGATGGCGCATGTACTCAACATGTGCAAGGCCCTGGGTTGTTTCCCCCAGCACTGAAAACAAAATCAAATCTATAGTTTCAATATAGATATTAAGTACTTTTCCTTGGCTAGCTGTTAAGTAGAACAAATAAGTTTATAGAATAGTGTGTAAAATGCAACCCCACCCTTGCAAAATTGCAGTTAAAAACAAGATTCCCTGAAGAGTGTTTACTAACTGAAGGATGCTTACAATCTCCTGGGCATGGGCTCTCCGAAGATGGCAGTTTTTACTCTCTATTTCTTGCTTTCTTCATTTGGTAAAGAAGACTGATTGGGAGAAAGCAATTTTGAACTTGAGTTGGTTTCTTTTTGGAGTAAGACCTGGAACTGCTTCTTTTTTTTCTTTTCCTTTCTTACCCCTCTCTCCCCAACCCCCCTTCTTTCTTTTGTTTTTGAGATAGGGTCTCCCTATAGCCCTAGCTGTCCTGGAATTCACTATGTAGACCAGGCTGGACTTGAACTCACAGAGATCCACCTGCCTCTGCCTCCCGAGTAAGTGTTGTTTGGGACTATGCATTATTTTAACATTATTTAGTGGGCACAAAAAAGGTTAAGCTTGAAGTCGTCAAATGTGTTTCTTCCATATTTGAGTCTGACTTGGCAGTAATTAGCTACCAGTGCTGCTGTAGAAGGCCAGCCTAGAAGTCGTGCAGAATTTTTGAATCAGAAACTGGGACAAGGAGATCTTCTCATCTGTTTTCAGGGACTCATCCCCGTTCTTCCAGTACAGCATCAGATCTTCATCTGTGTATGCATCTGTGGGCAGAGGAAAATAAGAGAACTTGACGCCTTTGCTTCCCATACTGTGTGAACCAACAAGGAAATCCTGTGTCAGACTGAACAATTTGCGAGGTGGGGGGGCGGGGCACGGGACACGGGACGCGACACGACATAGACTGTTTTATTTTGTTTTTTAGGGTCTCCCTCTAGCCCCAGCTGGCCTGGAACTCGCTATGGAGACCAGGCTGGCTTCAAGCTCACAGAGATCTGCCTGCCTCTATCTCTGCCTCTGCCTTTACCTCCTGAGCACTGAGATTAAAGGCACCACCACACCCAGATAATTTTGGGTTTCGTTTTGTTTTGCTATTTTTTGCAGACTCAACTGTTCTTAACACTAGCAGACAGTACTTGGTCTCATGATTTCGAAAATGGCACAGAGACTGGGGAGGGAATTAGGTGAAAGAAGGAAAATCACTGGTACTTACAGCTCTCTAGCTTCAAAGAGCAGGTCTGAGAGTCCAGGGGAAAATGGCTGAAGTCCATGTTGCACATGGCAGTGACAGTAATCCTGTACAACCCAAAGACACGGGCTGGCTTGAGTAGCAGATTATCAGCTCAGGCATCACCAAGTGAGCCCTGAAACGGTGCCTATAGTGGCATCGGCCTCAGACATCTTCAGAAGTTAGATATTTGGGGCCAGAGAGATGACTCAGAGGTTAAAAGCACTGACTGCTTTTGCAGAGGATGCAGATTCAACTCCCAGCACCCACATGGTAGCTAACAATCATCTGTAACTCCAGTTCCAGGGGATCTGATACCTTCTTCTGACCTCCACAGGCAGTGTACAGCATGGGGCCAGGAGACCAAGTGATCACCCTCCAGGCTTTGCAACTGAAAGTAATCATACTTATGATTTCAGCTGGAAGCTTATCCTGTTAAAAGATGCCTCACAGTCTGCCTAACCAATGCCTTAAACCAAGAGTTTGGCCCTAAGACCATAGCCAGAGTTAAGATATGTTACAAAGGGAGCACTAACTGTCCAGAAGATCCTCCACAGGCATATGAACAGAGTGGTGAATGAAGAGAATGCCCCAGGAATGGAGGAAAATCTGAGATTGGGCCTACATGAAGGTCTATCCCTAGATTGATCTAGTCCCCCTTGCATAGAACTTGCCACAAATTCCTCTTCCATGCACAAAAATAGCAATTAATATGTGAATAGGAAGAGACCGGTCAGATGTCCGCTCTGGTCATACAGCTGCAGAGCATACTCCAAGGGACATCTTGGGGTGGGGTGCCACACTGCGGCCAGCGTGGATGCTCCCTATCTACTGCCTTCTTTGTGCTAGTCTTCCTGCCTTCCCACTGGCTGTGGCTGCTCTAACCAGGGCAAGCCATTCAAATCACCTCTCTTGGAATCTCAACTTCAAGTCACACTTGAAGGAGGGCAGAGGAGTCTTCACAGTGTAGACATATTGGCTGACTGTGGTCAAGGGAAGCCAGGCTGACTCCAGACATAGCTGAGCCAACTGTTGGATATCAGAAAGATCTGGCAGTGTGTGCCCTAGCATCTTGGAGCCTGACACACCTATACCTTTCATAATTAGATCCCACCCTTGCCAGGGGCTGGAGCTTCGAGGAGATACTCATGCACAACATGAGTATCACATCAGCTCTGCTGTGCAGGGGAGGGATGAGCATTCAGTGGCAAAGGGTCTACTTAGCAGGTGCAAGTGTTGCCACGCCTGCACGGCACGAAGCTGATCTCTGAGCGGAGGATGTCAGGATTGAAGAGACAATCACACTTTTAGTGTAGCAGAAGAAGCCTTTATTTCTCAGCCCCAGGTTGCTTTTATACCTTAGCCCAGAAGGCAGCTGACCCAACGGGCGCGGGGGAGCCATCGAATGACCGCAGGGTCAGTGCCAGGTCATGGTGTTCTCAGGACTTGATACCGGAAAATGAGCTGGTAAACAATTCTGAGACTGAGGAACCACGAGGCCCAAAAGGTCACTGCGGGGGAGGTGCAGATGGAAGCCAGGACAGCATGTCCCAACATCTCACCCCTTTTCCTTTATATAACAGAAGATTCCCCTGTCTTAGGTCGTCCCGGAGGGGTCATCCCTTACCCGTCATTGGGAGGCCTCATCCCTGTCTTAGGCGGGCACCCTCTCCATGGAAGTTGCCCATCTACGGAGGCATCTTCAGCATTTGTATAACATTTGCAGCCAGACCTGAGGTACACCTGGATTACCAGATGACAAGCTTAACAGGACTTGTTGAGTGCCCATCTGTTGAAATCTCGTAGATCTCATCCATCGGCCAAGGACCCAGAGCCCAACAACTATGGCACTAAACCCAAGAACGGTCAGCAACAATGACTCCACGCACTGCTAAGCCCAGCCTCCCAGCTGGACCATGGCATTCCACCAACCTTCAGCTGATGTAGGGGGCACCCTAGTATTATTAATTCTTATAATTTGATGAGCTAGATGAGATGTAAAATTGAGAAAGGTTACATTCCAGGGACCTCTCATATAGGCATTTAACTATTTTACAATTTCTGAGGCATTAACAACATGACCAGGTGTTACACAAACAGAATGATAAAAATGAGAACAGGACACTTGTTGCATCATCCATAAGGTGTCAACCTGCTCCTGCAGAAGCACTGTTGTAGTGACACAGTCTCCCCACATCAAAGCGTATGGAAGATCAAAGTTAGTGGTCGAAGGCCCACAGCGAGGGGCTGGCTCCAGACCATTTGTTCACTCAGGGCAGGATTCATTAAGATGATTGCTGCTGGTGCCTGTAGAATCAGCATTGGTCTCATCAAGGTTGGCCTCCACTGGATGAACATATCTTTCAGGAACCCAAATGGGTTTATGCTCCCCTGGAGGATAAACACAAACAGCCCCTCTCACCCTGGCTAATAAGGGTGTCAGCTCTTTCCACTGCCCAGATAAGGGATCTTTCCATCTTACCCATCCCTTGGCCCTGGACCAATGCCTTTCCATAGCTGAATACCCTTTGCTATCCACAGTGAGAAAATTTAAAGTAAATAAGATTGAGGATAATTGCACACTAGGAAAGGGAAGATATTCCCCCCTCTTTATTTTAGTAAAATATTGTTTTAAGACCATGTTCATTCTTTCAGCCACACCTTGACCTTGTGGATTGTAAGGGATTCCTGTTGTATGGGTAATTTCATGCTCCTTGCAAAATTGTTGAAATTTTGAGCTGGTATATGCAGGCCCATTATCTGTTTTTAATTGATTTGGTATTCCCATATAAGCAAAGGCCGATATACAGTGGGCTATAACATTTTTGACTTTCTCTCCCATATGTAGGGATGCGAAGACCACTTTAGAATATGTATCTACAGACACATGCATATATTTTAATGTCCC